TTTATATGATTGAACCAATATTTTCAAGTATTTTGATATCAAGAATCACATAAGATCAATTATATYGCGCTACCCAAGATTCGTATTGCCATGGTGATATGGKCTCGCGCCATTTTCGCCAGCTCTTTGAAAAAGCATTTGTTTATAGAATTGTCATGTACATGACATGGTTTAATTTTGACTGACACGAAATTAAATATTTCACGCGATCTAAATGTTCCTTGGATACAGTATTTGCTATAGAAGTGATTATTTTTATTTGTATTTATATTCTTGGCTTGATAAACGAATTCAATAGCTAGATTTGAAGTATTCTATCTTGTTTCACGAGTTTTCAAGAGATGAACGAAAAATCGCTTCGTTTATGGATTCCACTTTAATCAATGTCATAATTATCTTGTTAGAACTCGCTTTTCGAGGGGTGGATCAAGACTGTTTTTTTTTTTGGACATCTGTGGCCAGGCTGCCAACCACAAAACGTTTYATAAAACAAACACTAACTTTATCCAGAAACTCGTAAAGGAATGAAAAGTCTAACCRCTTTACACTTCTTGTGTTAAMATGRAGTGRTCAGTTTGTCCGTTGAAATTTTTCTCGATTTAMACCACTTTTTTAAGYTTTCAAAACATTTTAAATAAAGTAAAAGGCAATATTAGTCATGCACTGAGGAAATATTCACCAAAGCCCAAGAAAAAATTGCTGTATTTTTATCTATAGTTCTAATCATGACATTTTTTTAATTTAACTTCGTTTGCTCTAAAATTTGAGAGTGGTCCAAAAGTTAAACGATGTGTAGCCCAACAATTGTTGTATTATGTTTCAATAATAAGTGCTGGATAATCTTATCTTTTAGCTGTTTTTTGTTGTCACCTGAGCAATAATTTCATGTCGGATTCATTTCTCAAATTGACTCAGTTATATACCAGCCAGTAATGGACGACTATACGACTATTCCTTTCAGTTCTGCGCACGACWCAATGGACAGTTTCTAGTTATCACTCCATTTGCGATGAATAATTTTCTTGTCAGCAAACAACGTCTTATTGAAAGCCCCTACACTAGTTACTATTTTGGCAGAGGAAATTATTAGCAAGCATAGACCTCTTGTCGAAAACCTATTTGCATTGGCAACATTTCGCGCTGAAAATAGAAATTAGTGATTTAAAATTGAAAATGCAACACCAATCTGTCAATCAAACGATGACATTCAAAATATCTTTTCATGTTTCTCTAAATATCATCAGATTTAATTAATAAAGAACAAAAATATCTGTGTTATYTATTATATTTGGGAAATATCAAAGAAAAATGAAATGAGAATATATGTTCAAGTGAAGATCAGTGAAGTCAATATATGAAATTGCACAAGAATGACAAAATGTGATAAGATTTATAACTGAAAAATTCTAGYGACTTCCTATCAAATATTCAATTATTTCTACCCYGATATTGTCWTTCTTCTCGAGCAGCTCGTTCATYTGAAAGTAATTTCCTTTTGTTTAGACTATTGACGATATTGATTCTCAGAGTGCACGCGTTTTGCTTGTGAAAATAAAATAAAAATTAGACCAACTCGGAGTTTATATTCTAATATATATAATATGGAATCTAAGTCGTTTTTGTATGATATAAGAGGTACTGACTATTACTATTGGTCAAGTTAACACATTTGTCAATATAAATTTCTATTATTTACTGTTATGAAGAATTCTAAMTTCGATCATAAGTCAACGAGAGAGAACCAAAAATATCCCAACCTACTTTGTAGTTGACGCTCCTTCTGATGTCTGCCACAGAAAACTTGCAATGAAGACAAACGCRGTTGACACCATGTAATCGTTCCACATCTTTGGAGTAATCTTGGACCAGCTATACGTCGACTTTTACCTCAYGCAAACAAAGACCTAGCAAAATATAATCATAACAATAGCTGAAAAAATCAATGGTCATTTAAATAGAACTAAAACAGGATGAAAGAGAAAAAAAAACAATACTTGATGAAGACTTCTGGCGTGGCGCCACTATAAGACAACTGCCAAGCGATTTATCTTCAAACAATATTCTACATGTCATGAAAAAAATCCAAGGATGTCAATGAGCTTGAAAAATAAGGTCCAATTCTAAAAACTTGTATTGGTTTGTCATAATTAGAATTATGCAAATATCCGACGTTTAAAATAGGACAGCAAAATATCTGCAGATAAAACGGTTGGATTTCCTGACGTAAGTCTCCTTAATTCCTCCCAAGAAAGAGATTTCAAGGCGTTTATGAATATAAACAAAGTTCTTAACAGTAAAAGCTAAATAATGTCTACAGAAAACTATATGCAGGTGTTTGAGCATTCAAAAAATTGCGTAGAATAATATAATTTGCTAGATGAGGTGTAAATCGAATTCAGTTACAATAGAGGAAAATCCCGTCGAAGCCAGAAAAGTTATGATATTGGTCCTCATGAGCCTGGAATATAACGGAATATTTTTTAAAAACGAATATAATGAAGAAACCTTAACAAGAATCCCGAAATTAAAACCATGGATGTCATGTAGCGGTATTAGATTTACTTATATTTACTTAAGGAGTCGTCAAGCGGGCCTTAATTTTAAAATTTCTACTTAAAAATGCACCTTTTTGTATTCAAAAGCTATCCGGTTTTAGATGAAACTAATTTTGACCCGTCAAACTATCGCCAAAATATTTTTAAAAGTCTTTTTGAAGTTTTATGAAATTGAACTCTTTTTGAGGTACCGTGGAAAAGTATTTGCCTGTATGAAGGAMATTTGTACATTTGAGTTACGTCAATGGCTGGCTAAGCACCCCATAGTTTAACATATAAATAACAGATTTCTCCGCGAGAATATTCGAGAAAACAAACAAATTACAAAACAGCAAAAAATCTTTGAAATGAATATCAACAAAAAAATGCCAGGACTTACAAAACATCAGGTCTYTCGATCCTAGGAACGGACGACAGTCTTTCTCGTGTTCTCCAGTAGTAGTAATGATGATGTACTTAAATGACCGAGTCATATTTAAGAACCAAATGGCTCCTTCTCATGAATAATGAATAAAATTATTGCCCACTGAAAACAACTGTCGTGCAAGCATAGAACTTTTCAAGTAATACACATTCCCTATGAGACCAAATTTATATTTCATAAAATGTGTCACACATAGAATGGTAAAAATAACTTCAAACTACTTCCGCGGAAGTATTAATAGGTTTGTAGTTTAACTTCGCATGAATTCGGAACTTTGGTTCGCTATAATGGTCGCCTAAGAATACAACCACATGCACGGGACGCAGCGTCCGGAAATAAGTCCGCCATTTTATTCCTAGGCAACATGTGGGAAGGTCGATCGTCATCGCTAAAGGGTGCATACATAATCAACTCTCAAAATTCTTCAATCGAACTTCAAACAGATCTGAATKGATGAAAGAATAATTATGTTAGGAGAACTAAGGGCTGGTGGCAAAGTAAGATTTTTTRTAMGCGTGTCGGCAAATTTGCGGTGGCACCGATACTTCAGTCAAAAACAATATAGAGCGGCAAGCAGTGTTATTTTAAAGTACCTTTTGAAGTTGTTGTTTAAGCTCTAAAGACAAACGATTCGAAAAGTTAACCTTGTTTTCACACATCAAGCAAGCACGAATCTCTGTGTGATTATAAAAGTTTTGYCAGTAGCACTGACARTGAACAGCTATAGAACTTTATATTTGCAATTTTCTTATAAATAATTTAGATGCTTTGAGTGTTTCAAGAGAAATTATTGATCAAGACATGCAAAGAACGACAATTGGTTACATGTACATCTACAACAAATGAAAAGCTTGTACAAATAGTAATAACCGCTTGATTTTCTTGATATGGAAAGYTTGTTTAAACATGAGTTTTATAGTTTCGTTTACGCCATCGAAACGTTTAGTTAGAGGATTTGATAATTGGCTTTGACAAAAAAGATTTTATTGTCTCAAAGCGCAGAAAAAAAAAACTGCCGCGCTAAGAAAATTAAACTAAAAAAAACCGATCCACGGAAGATTTTATCGCTGTTTTAACATGCCCTATTTRAATAGTGAGATTTAATAGGATAAACCATCCATAAATTGTTATTCTGTATCAGGTACTCTCGTATAGGTATAACCGATGTGTCTAAAAACAAACCCTGCACTGGGCACACTTCCTAATTAAGTATTAATGTAATCTATTTAATTGCGCGCCGCCACATAAAACGGCTTGGTTTCAAGCTAATTAACCTTAGAATACAAAATAGACATGGATATATACTTTAAACCCGCAGAACTCATTTACACGTGAAAATATTCAATGTCAAAGAGTGTAATAACTGACTGAATGAGAATAAAAAAGACAGACTCTTGCGAGAGAGTATAAACTGTGATAAGCTGTGCGAAAAAGAACCGAAAATCAATATTCTCCTATAAATGAACCTATTTTGTGTTATCAAAATAAGTAGTTCGATCTCGATATACTAAATACTGGCCAAAATAGACCAAAAAGAGGCCGAAATAGCTGTTTGTTCGACCCGAAGTTTTCAAGGACCAGTGTTAGAATTGTTATTGTGAATTTCACTTTGTTGATTTTCTCAACAAATGCGCAAGCGGCATTTTTGCTTCTAAATTTATTAAGGGAACCAGCGCGAGTTAGTTAACAGGCAAATACTGCGCAGAATAGAATACATGTTATGGCTACTGACGGTAGTAAAGACCAACATAGCACTGCCTAACTGTTAATTGGATATATCCTATCAGATATCTTAAACTGTTCAAATTGCATTCAGTTGACATACCTTTTTCATCCAAGATTGAGGTGAAAAATGAATTTTGGCAGCGAACAGCGGCTAAAATACACCGCAAATGACAATAATCAAACCAGTAATTCTATCTACGTGTTTATTGGACTATTCTTAGTTAAACATTTTTAATTAGGATAAAAAGGCTGTCGCGTGTGCATTGACAAGAATTGTAACGTTCGAAATGGTGTTTGCATAGCACTGAGCAATATTCACATTTAATCTATTGAATCCCCCCCAAATAAAACAAGAATGGAAACTTTTAAACTGGAGCAGATAAACATGATCTGGAGATATAAAAACCCAAAAACTCGAAGTTTTTTCAAATATCCACGCTAAATTGAAGACGGAAGAATTGTCAGCCAAAATATTAGCATTCATGACATACGCGCGTTTTCTTAATAAAGCTACAAAAAAAAAATGCGTTCAGATGACACATTGAAGTTCAACACGTCCATATTTTGGAATATTCGTCTTGAAATTCGAAAATGCAGAATTCTAGATCTGCCATTGAAGTTATGAATTGCTTTTGMGCATTTACAAATCTTAATCTATTTAACTCACGTGCACGTGGCCATCTTGGATAAATTTAAATCACGAAATTTAAGATGTTCATCTCTTGTTTTCGCCTTTTTTACTTAAGACAAACGATAACTTTCTCAGGAAAGCAAGCAGGTACTTGTAGTAAACGGAATTTTGTTTAATTTTAACTTTAATTCTAGAGTCTGTTTTCCTATTCTTTTCTAGCAATTCATATTTATAGTCTTTATAAGTCTTATAAGTAGAAAATGAAGGAAAAGATTCATGTTATAAAAATTTCGAAATTGTTACTATTTGTGGCTCGTATTGAATTGATCAAAATGACTAAGACATTTTGGTGTCAGTTTCAACATTTTATAAATAGAACTAAAAGATATCAATGTTTAAGTCTTCCTCCAACAGAAAGTGAAATAACTCATCAAAAAACTTTGGTAAAAAACTGCATGCACATGTAGTAGAGGTTGTTTTCCGAAGTTCGAACTTTCGTCCTCTTACGCAGCCTCCCGTTGCAGCCCCTTCCTAGGCTGGCGAATTGCAAATGTGCCAGGTGCCTCGTACGCAGGCAGCAGTAAAAATATCGTATCCTTTTTGAGCTTTTCCTCGATAATGTTTTGTGCTTAACAATCAGACATGAATTCAGTATATCTAGCGTTTTGAAATAGTATTTCTTTATTTTTTACCAAAATATCATAATCAACGATTCTTTCTTTGCCACGCTAATATGGTTTCTATATTATATAGACGGGAAAAGAAGTTTTTTTTTATTTTGTTCAATGAACGTTTTCGACCGAAATCACGCTCGTAAAGTTTCTGCGCTCAAAAAACGWCTGATTTCAATGTAAAATTACAAAATTATCGCCAGGTTCTATTATATAAGACTTTTAACTGAAACATAAAGTAACTATAAAATGATATGAAATTATTGTATAAAGCTAGTATTGATTGGTATTGTTTAAATGTGCAAAAAAAAACGTGTTTCTATGAGAGAACGTGTACATAAACACAGCTTTTAAGACGCAAGAGTTATTGTTATTTTATAAAAGTATTAGAAGATATTTTCTGTATGATTTCCCGTTAGAAACACTTGAGATTGAACCTGCTCTGGGAAAACTGAATTGGAATGGCAAATGGTTATGTGGTTTATGGGTTAGATAGCGGCTTTATGCAAAAGCAAGTATTCTTAGCTGGGGAGCTACCACTATTACTCTATTAATTAAGCCATCAAAATAGTTAAAACAATCTTTTAGACTGAGGTTCAATATAATCCGAGTCGTTTATTGTACGTTATCTTGTGAACTGTCAGTATATGGCTTTTCTGTGTCCATGCAAGAATATATTGAAATACTGGCATTGATAATGCAGACAGATAAATCAAAAAAGGTCTAACGATGCTATCTGAGATTCTAGAGAGATTTTATGAATGAAATTATATAAGGCTCAAGACAAAAGTCTTTCCTATGGCATGTATAAAACAAAATAAAAGATGAACGTGTGTGAAGCCAGCAGAAAATAGTAGGCTGCGACTATATAATTTAACATGCATAAAAACGGACAATT